GTAACTGATGTGATTCTGCAATCTGTATATGGGGTAAAAATGGGAGTTCATAACCCACTTGAATCAAAGTGTGAAATATGATATATCAAGAACTATGTAATGTTTTGAACAACCAACAATAAAAAAATAATGCTGTAATGAATTTCCTTATACAAATACATAATTTCCCACATATGATAAGTATATCTGTCCCAAACTTAACTGGGAGTAAAATTACTGAAGCAAAGGAATGAACGATTTTAATACTGAAAGGTATTGATTGCCTAATTTCTCTCTACAGAGGTGTTTTATGTTTGTTTGTTTTTGTGGTATTGGGAAATTAAACCCAAGACCTTGCATATACTAGGCAAGAACTCTACCACTGAATCACATCCACACCCCTTTTTAAAAATTTTATTTGGAGACAAAGTCTTACTAAGTTGCCCAGGTTGGCCTCGAACTTATGATCCTCCTGCCTCAGCCTCCCAAATAGCTGGGATTACAGGTGTGTACCACCACACCTGGCTACAGAGATTGTTTTAATCTATATTCCCATCCTCAATATATGAATGCCTAGGGGCTGGGGATGTGGCTCACTCGGTAGCGCGCTCGCCTGGCATGCGTGCGGCCCAGGTTCGACCCTCAGCACCACCGAGAACTAAAAAATAAATATTAAAAAATTCTCTCTCTCTCTCTCTCTTAAAATATATATATATACCTATTTCCTGTGCCATTAACTACAGAGTGTACACCTTATTGCACTTTTTTATCTTTGCCAATTTGATATGTAAAAATGTTATTACTATACTTCTATTTGCATTTTTCCCTATGAAAGTGCTCACATTTTAAGAGATTTTTATTTATTTCTCCCATGCAAACTATATCTTTTGTTGGTATAAATTGGATTTTTTTGGTAGGAATTCTTTATATATTAAGGAAACCATAACTTTGTTTGGAATATAAGTTGTCAAAATTGTCTATTGACAAATGGCAAGCCTAGTATATTTGAGTGGCAAGAGGAGTACACAGAGGGATCTTGCCTCGGGAGTAAGAAATAATTAGCTCTAGAGTAAGCACTGTTTTGTTGCTACCTAAAAAAAGCAAAAAGCAAGATGGGGAAAGGATCAATCTGTTTCCAAGTAACTAAACTGCATCCCAGAATGAAGCTTAGTGTATTTGTAGGAACAAAAACAAATGCAGCACCAAAAACATGAAATTAATATCTCACATCTAATTAAAATTACTAAAAATGCAAAGAAGCTGTAAAATATGGCCTATAATGAGGAAAAAAAATCAATAAATTGAAATATACCCAAAATTCTAACAGAGATTTTAGATTTAGCTGGCAATGATATTATTATAACTATATTCATACATCCAAAAATTTAAATAGAGACATGGGAGATATGAAATATCCAGTTGAAATTTTAGGGATGAAAATTACAATATCTGAGATTAAAATGATACACAGGAGGGAAATAACAACTGATTAGACATTGCAGAATATAAGATTAGCTAATTTAAAGAMATATCAATAGAAACTATCCAGAAAAAAAAAAAACACCACAGAAATACTGTGGTCTTGGCTGTGATTTTTTTTTAATATGACAACAAAAAGCAGAGGCAATGAAAGACAAAATAGAGAAGTGGGACTACATCAAACCAAAAATCTACTGCACAGCAAATGAGACAATCAACAAAATAGAAAGACAGCATACGAGATGGGAAGCTGGTGTGGTGGTCAGGATGTGAAGGCTGGAGGAGTCCAAGTTTGAGGCCAGTCTCAGCAATTTAGAGAGCCCTATCTCAAAATAAAGATGAAAAAGGGCTGGGGTGTAGCTCAGTAGTAGAATGCCCCTGGGTTTAATCCCTAGTACCATAAGAACATATCTAAACAGCAGAAACAAAACAACAACAACAACAAAACTACCTCCTTCAAGTGAGAGAAAATATTTGAAAACCATACATCTGATAAGGGGTTAATACCCAAAATACATAGGAAATTTATACAACTCAATAGAAGAAAAGTAAATAACTAAAAAATGGATAATAAGCTAAATAGACATTTCTCCAAAATAGGCAAAACAAAATGTGGCCAACAGAGATATAGGTGCTTATGATCTGTAATTATTAAGTACATGAAAATCAAAACCACACACCAGGTAGGATGGCTATTATCAAAACAACCAAACATCACAAATAGTGATGAAGACATGAAGATAGGGAACTCCTGTACACTTGTGAGAATGTATGTTGTACAGCCACAATAGGGAAACTGCATGAAAGTTCCTTAAAAAAATTAAAAACAGAACTACTATATGGTTTCATGATTCTGCTTCTGGGCAAATCCAAAGGAACTGAAACCAGGTCTTGAAAACGCACATCCATTGTGGCTTTAATCACGATAGCCCCCACATGGAAGCAACCTAAATGGCTATCATTAGAGGAATCAAGAAAATGTGATACAGACATACAAGGATGAKATATTAGCTGACCTTGAAAAAGAAGGAAATTTTGCCATTTGCAACAACATGGGTAAATCTGGAGGTCATTAATCAAAGTGAAATAAGCCAGACAAAGAAGGACAAATACTACCTGATAACACTTATATTAGGAATCTAAATAGTCAAACACCTAGAAGCCAGAGAATTGTGGTTGCCAAAGGTTGAGAAACAGGAAAGTACCAGTCAAAGGGTATAAAGTTTCAGTTATGCAAGATGAATAATTCTTAGAGATGTGTATAGCATAGTACCTTAATAATACTGTACTGTATACTTGAAAACTTGCTAAGAGGGAGATCTTTTGTCAAGAGTTTCTCTGCCTCTGTCCATCCCCCTTCTCTCTCTCCCTCCCCCCCCTCCCCTCTCTCTCTCTCTCTCTCATACACACACACAAATAAATAAAAAGAGTAAGAGAAAACTTTTAGATGATGGCTATGCTTTTGGTGTATACTGTTCTAATGTTATCATGATGTATACTTTATGTTCAAACTTATCAAATTTATGTGTAATGATGAACTGAAACTTTTGTGAGACAGAGTAAATCTTTCCTCCCGGTAGGTATTTTGTCACAGTGGCAGAAAGCCSACTAACAGTCTTAAAAAGACATTAGCTAAAATTTGCTGGAATCCAATTTAACTTGGGAGTAAGCATCATCAGTTGCCTTGTTTCAGATGAGGTGGCCTCTAGCAGTAAGCTCCAACTTCACTCCAACTGAGCTCCTGTGAAATGAAGCCTAATATTCTAGAGAAGACTTGGGAGTCCCCGAGGGAAAAAGTCACTTCTTAACTTTCAATAATCTTTCCCTATGTCTTTGCCCAAATATCCCCCAACATTATTTCAGGGASGCAGATTGAGACCTGCTTTTCCATCTCCACACTCATCTGCCTGTGAGTAAACTCTTCATCTTTTGTAAAAATCATTATTTCAGTAATCAGCAAACTGCATAATGGGTAAAATGGACCTGGTGGGATGACATTCTTACTTTAATATCGAGAGCAATTCAATTCTATCTCACTTCCAGTTCACTCTACTCACTGAATTAATCCATCTCTATCAAGGTGTTTTGATTTTTAAAGAGGGGAGAGGTGCTTTTAATCCTCTAGGAAGAAACCTGCCTCCAAGTCTTAGAATAACAAAAATTTTTCCCCCGATGTATATATTTTATTTCATTTTGAAAACATAGGCATATCTATAAACTATTTGAACACATTTAGGTTGTCTCTATACAAACTCCTTTTAAAAAGTGTTTACTTCCCAGAAGGTGGTATAAAAAATTTGACTTTCTTTCATAAATTAATATTTTAAGAAGTTCTTAAATTTTCACAAATTTGACATTAACCTTCCTTAAACTGTATTTCTTAAAGGATTTATTTTTGGAAGACTCTTTAATAATATTAAAGTCTTTTTCTATAAGTGACTATTACTACAACTTATTATTTTTAACTTGTTTTTGTTCTAGAAATCAAAAAGGGGCCTGAAATACTTCTTATTTTCAAAAATAAAATTTCTAATTAAAAATACACATATTTTAATAAAATAAATGAAAATTTCTGAATTCTGAAATTTAGAAATGTAGAAATTAGAAGATAAAATCACCAGCAATTCTGTTACCCACAGATACTGTTAACTATTTTATAATATACATTAACTTTTTAATTTTGTCATATATAAGTAGTTATAAGTCTGCTTGTGTATGTCTGTATATCTATGCATATGTATGTATATATATGCATTTTTTCTTTAATAAGAAAGACTGTAATAGGGATTTTTATTTTAATAAATATCTATCATTTCAATGGCCACATAATGGTTTATTTATGGATGTACAATTATTTAATCAATTTCTATCAAAGAATATTTATTTCTCTGCTCTGTGAAACACTGCAATGATGATAACACATTTTGGAAGTTACAACAAATGTAAACTATATAATTCTGATTTCTTAACTAGTTTTCTTTAAATAGTTGCTTCTGCAAGMTGGTATTAAGAAAAAAATGTTCTTGGAATATTATCTCAAAGTGCCTTGACCACAAAAGCTAGCATTCACCAATTGATATTTAAAATAGTGTCAACATTTTTAACCTTAATAGTCAACTCCCCAACATTGTCACAACATGTCATTTCAGTTTTAACTTCCTTAGTAGCCCACAAAGCCTTCCCTCCGATCAGATGGGTAGATTAGCAGAACCTGGTACTTTGCTGCTTTCCTATAGTTGGACCTGCTGCTTTTCCTGGCTGTAAGGATTGGAAAGCATCACTTTTTCTCACCAAGAATAAAATCTAATCTAGAACTATAGGTTCCACTCAAATCCCACATGATCCATAATCTCTTTCTGATCTTTAGCATTTGTGATTTGTCCTCTCATTAAGTCTTTTATAATTTTGGTTCAATTTATGAATTTTTGACTTTCTGATGCTACAAAAGCCATACACATTCAGGAGAACTCAGTACTCTTCCTTGGGGTGGTCATATATAGGAGAATACACTTGTGCAGTGCTGGGCATTGGCAGTGAGCCRCAGCTCTCAGCTAGCCAAAGCAACCACAAGGCACATAATGCTCTTTTGGATTGCCAGTGTTTTTTGGATATTGTGCTTTGGCATATCATCATGTCTATAAAGTTTCCATCATTTTGGCACAGTACTCAGTAAAGTACATGAAATATTCAACACTTTACTATAAAATAGGCTTTGTATTAGATGTTTTTGCTCAACTACAAGCTAATGTGTTTCCAGCACATTTAAGGTAGGCTGGATTATACTATGGTGTTCAGATGTATTAAATGCATTTTTTACTTATATTTTCAAATTATGATGGGTTTAATCAGGACTTAACTTCATCATAAGTAACTTATTCAGGATATTCCATCTTATGATATTCCCTTCTCTTGAATATTCAAATATAATTTAGATTTCTTATTATTCTCATGTTGACATATTTATATCTTTCTATAACTTTGCTAAAAGGCTATTGAACAGAGGTTGGTCTTACTATTTTCCTAGCACTATGCCTAACATATAGAGGAAGCATGGTATATGTTTATTGATTTAATATAATGACAGTAAACTATAGCCTTGTATTAGTAAAATTCTCATTTGGTTCACTGTCTACGTGCTTATCCAAGCATATGAAAAATGATTTTCTTAAAAATTTTAACAAAATATTAGCATAAAATACTTGCTAGTTACTATCTACTAGCATTCTTGATAACCAAACTATGCAATATTTAAGTCCAAATCAGATCTTAAGATTTTCTTGGTTTTTATAATCTTTAAAATAAATTATATAAATACTGAGTTACTTACCTTGCAAAAACTTAAGTGGAAGCACAAAAGTAACAAAACAACATGAATAAACTTCATGTTGGAGGTGTCCAGGGTCTATGTCTCTGCTGAAGACTCTTGTCCATCCCAGAGAGTCTTTTGAATTTAATTTTTAACCTTTGAAAAAATATTTAAAAAGAGCAATTCTCTTAAAGAGATTTGTACTTTTGAACCCAGAAAGAATTTGGTTAAAATCCAAAGAGTTTTACCGTAACTGAAACCAAAAATGGCCTCCCTAGCAAATAGCTGAAGGAGGTGACCAATAGAAACTTCCTCCTCCAGAAGAGAGTGATTGCCTCACCTTGTTAAAGAACAAATGCCTCACTTCTGTTTTCTGGAGAGACAGAAACTACACTGGAAGCAAATTTCTTGTTTTTTTTTTTTTTTTGTAAAATAAAAATTTCAATTTTTTTCCTTAAAGTTGATGACATGAAGATGGTAAAAATAAAAGTTTTATCATATTGAAAACTATGCAACATACAAGCAAAATTCTCAAAAACACAACTCTTTTATTATGTGTTTATTGTGTTGTGACCAAGTTATATTCCCTAAGCACTGAAAAACTTTTGAGACAGAGCTTGGTGTATAAGAATATTATTAGGGATCAATACCTGTAGAAGGAAGGGTGGGATAATGAGCAAGAGAGAGCAGAGGAAGAATTCTATGCAGCTTCAAAAGAGCTTTGGTCTGCTGGTAGAGCAAATGTGTGATCTTTTAGTGTCCCCGGGTCTGGCAGAAATGGAAGGGGCTTTATATCTTGATTTGCTTGGGGTATAATGGTGACCTGATGTGGGAACCAGGAAGGGCATACTCTAAGGTGAGGCAGTTCTCTGTAGCTGAGGAAGACCCMGAGGGATGTGATAATTGTTTGCTGTCAGGAAGTGTCTTTTTGCTGTGCTGAGGATTGAAATCAGGGTCTACCACTAAGCCACATCCCCATCTCTAGGAGGAGGTGTATTCCAACCATACTCTTCACAGCCAGGTAGCAAGATTTTCTTTGAAGAGGGATCTAGAAACTAATTTCTGTACCTTTGAAAATCTTGTACCTTTTAGATCTACTTTTCATACATATTCCAAGAGTGTCTCTTTCAAAATTCCTGTGGCCCTCTTTTCCTGAAAGGAAACTTAGAAGAGGGAATTAGTAGAAAAAACTATAGGCCCTGCTCTTGCAGTTGATATTGGGCTACCATTGATACTCATCCTCTGTCTCCTCTCTATCCATTCCAGAGTCTGTTCACCCTGAGCTTCCACCTTTGCTGGTTTCAATGGCTTATCTTATGGTATAATCCACAACCTCTTCTAGGAGTTGTCAAAGTCCCTGGGTAGTATTCTTTTCTCAGACCAAATTGCTGTTACTATTCCTTTACTGTCACAAGAGACGCCCCRACAGAGCAAGTAGATTGCACACGTATTCCTCCTGCCCTAATTGTGATTACAGTAGCCCTCATCCTCTGAATGGAAAGGGTCAATTACCCATCAATATAGTGACTCCTTTTCTTTCCTGCTAGTCTCTAGACACAAGGATCCCAATGTGCATCAGGCAGAAGCCTTATGTTATATTTGTTCAACAGGATTCTTACTGTGCTCCTGGTGAAAGTGTGTTTTTTTGGGGATCAAGACCTCTAACCCTGCAGTGTCTATACTATTGGGGTCAGGAAGCACAGAGCCCCCAGTTGGTCTTTGGGAATGATGGTAAACATGGTCATTCCTACCTCTATCCCTCATGTTACTAGACCCATGTATCCGTTCTATTGGTAATACAATGCTATACATTATATATATATATAATTATATATATTATATATTACATATATATATTATATATTACATATATATATTATATATATATATTGCTCCCTATAGGACCGCACACTGTTCTTACAGGATACTGCCTTTAAGTAGTGCCCCAGCTTTGCATTCTGGAGGCCACTCCAATATTAACCCAACTTAGGGTAGTGTGATATGTGATATGATAGTGGATTGCATGGTCTTAAGCCAATTCTTGCATTTCTTTTGCTATCAAGTATGTACTCTCCTTAGATCCTTGGGATCCCTTGCTGGAAAATTAGACACTCTGTCACCATGATACTAACTGAACCCCTGTAGGAAGAAAAAGKACACCCACTTTGAGATGCACAGTGGTAAGGTGTAAGTTCTTTGAGTAAGACCCATGGACAATGGAGTGTAAAATTAGTTTTTCTTTAAACAGATAAGAAGTGCAGCTCCCATAAAGGCAGGGTCCCAAATGGGCTACCTCTGAGTTGCTGCTGTCTAGAGATTTATATGGTATTGCTGAAGGAGACCTTTAAAGCTATTGGCTATTGACTTTTAAGGAGTTTCTCCATCCAATCAGAATGAGACACTCAGTGATCATGTGTCCCCTGTCCAGTCAGGATGCTAATCATGGATCAGGATGTTCACCAGCTTGTTCATATGCTTGGCCCATCAGATGCTTTGTACACAGAATTGTTGCAATGGAGGTTCTAATGAAAGCTCCTGCTTTCACCATCTCAAATATATGTCTATTCCTGTGAGAACACACCACTGGCCATTCTAAGATTGAAATGATCATAGGTAGTTAGTTTGCCACCAAATGGCTAGTTGGTCTCTTTGATAAAATTGTGCCATCTTGTGGGCACAGCACTGGATTCTTGCTGTTGGGTGGAGCATTTGTTGATGGCAGAGCTCAATGATTCATGGAGGTCCATGCTACAGTTTTCATGGGTCCCCTCCATCCCTGATTCCATCATCACTTCATTCTTGTACCGATCATGTCAGCACTGGGGAACTGATGGCTGAGAATGKTTAATACCAAACTGGCATTTTCAAAATTATTTACTGACTTTTTCTCTAGCAGATGCATCAGTGAGCATTAACATGTGTTACAAAGATTTCCTGCTAACTCCCATGTATACATCCATATTTCAATCCCAGAACTTTTTGTTCTTGATCTTCAAATATTTTTCMTTCTACAAAACAAAGATGGTCAGGCAATTGTCTAAGGCTCCATATATAATCTGACCCCAGTCCACTTTTGTTTTCATTTGGAGTGGATGATCAAGTGTACTCCCCTTAAGTTCTGCCTCTAGGGAGGACTTTTCCTCACCACTGTCTTTCTAAAGTACCCATGTGATTGTAATACAGATGCTGCCTATTTTTGACTTGTACCTGCATACTAAGCAAACCCACTTATAAACCAATTTCAAGTTTTTCTCTCCTCCTTCAGTTGGTTTTTCTCTCCTCCTTCAGTAGATTCCCCATATAGCCATATGTGTGACTTGAAAGGGAGGGGCATGGGCATCCATTTGGATGATTCCCCAAATGGTTCTGGGATACCTGCTAAATGTACCTTGCTTGTAGCCTCTGGTGGTGTTTGTGTTTGGTTGTGGATGTCATAATACATTTTTGCAGCTGGGTATGTAGTTCAYTGGTATAGCATTTACAGAGCATGTGCCAGGCCCTTCAGTCCAGCTCCAGCACTGGAAAACATAAAAATAAAAGATACATTGTTGCTATGTCTGCTTAACCWTATGCTTTGTAAATCTGTGAGGACCCAAGTACTCAATTGTCAGAAGGCAGTTCTGGCCACATGGTGACATAGTGTCCCATGCTCCCTTTATTCCTCCCTCACAAGTTATATTAKATTTTCTATTAAGAAGTTCCTGTAGCATTCTGGTGCAAGCCATGCAGAAGTGTCCAGGTTGGGCCAGGAGCAAGTGACCTTGTGGTTTAAAGTGAGGTTGCAGAGGAGTTYGCTGTGTGTGGTTTTGGGAGAGTGGTGCGGGCGGTTGGGTGGAGAAGAGATCAGTATTTAATGCTTAATTATAGAAATGTGACCCTGAAGGCATACTGTATTTTAATGGTACCTATGTTAATAAAACACGGACACATGAAAAAAAATAAAGAAAGCAGTTCCTGTGAGCTGAAGAGGGGCATGGACATTTATYAGGGACCAGAAGAACACAATTACACTCTCAAATGGAGTATAATTCTCTGCTGCAGATGGTATATCCTTGTTACAGAACTCTAATCCCAGGTTTCTTCAAACTTTTTGACCACCTGGAGGCAACAAATAACCTTAGTAAAAGTTTTTTCCTTCTTATTGCACTTTTTACCAAGGACGACAACCAAAGTCCTGTGCTGTTCTTGTCAACAAAAGTAGTCTTAATAAATGGTTTGCTGTAACCTCCTTCTTTGTACTTAAAAAACAATCTGTAAAAACCAATATCCCTCACATGACACCATTTGGGGAAATGCAAATTCTATGCTGTTAGAATTCATTACTACCAGAAGATCATCTTCATATTGTCTTGAATACACTGTTTTCATATTCAGTATGCTTTGACTTGCTTTATAGGTTCACAGTACTTGATTACCACCTGTGTTTTACAAATATGACTTACAATCCAATGTGGTGAATTGTGAGGATGAAGTGGGAGAGAATTCTAAGCCTCAGTAATTCTGATAAAGAACATATAATTGTGATGAAGAACCCCCCAACTAATAAATGCAGCAATGGCTCCAGCAAAACTGAAAAAGCACTTAACTACAAATCATAGTAAAGGAGAATTACGAATCATAGTAAAGGAGAATATACAAATACTATCCAGCTAATGACATTTCTGGATTTATTTCCTTTTTTGCTGTAGCTGTAGCTCAGAGGTAGAGCGTATACTTAGCATACAAGAGGCCCTGAGTTCAGTCCCTGGAACCACAACATAACACAACAAAACAAACCCCTAGGATCTGAAATACTGCCCCTCAACCCCCATGTACCAGTGACTGAGTCCAGATCCCAGATCCTTCTTGTAGCAAGAGCTATCTTTTTATTCTAAGACAGGATCTTGCTAAGTTGTCCAAGTTGGCCACAAACTTGTGATCCTCCTGCCTTAGCCTCCAGAGATGATATACAGATATAAGCCACTACACCTGGCCTGAATTTCTGACCTACAGAAATTGTGCAAAGTGATGTTTGTTGTTTTAAATAATTAACTGTTGGGTAATTTATTATAAAGAAAAGGTACTAATACAGATTTTGGTTCTTAACAGGATGCTTTAGTTGGAAAATGAATTGTAGGAGTACTT